TGTGCGAGTGTGTGTGTGTGTGTGTGCGAGTGTGTGTGTGTGTGTGTGATGTTGGCGGCATTGGAGACATGGGCACATGCAAATTTATCATTTGTGTTGGCACAAATTTGTGCCTGCCTTGTGAATGACATGAAAAAGGCAATTTAAACTGCACACCCACACACACACTTACGCACATTCTCTCACGCACACACACACAGCAACACTTAAGCATGCGAGTGCTGCTCCACAAACATTGACGTTTCGCATTAGAACAGTCGACAGCAGTACGCCGCTGCCGCCACAGGCATTACAACAATTTCATACATATACATAAGCTGGCACACCCTAGCCGCTGCACACACACGCACACCCTGTAGGCATAAGCAATAGTAGCAACAGCAACAACCATCAACCAGGCGCTTATCAGTGGCTACAACAATCAGGCAGGCAGCTAGGCAGACAAGTTGAACTCAGCTAGAGCCACTGGAGCGGGCCACAAAAAAGCAGTTGAGCAGCAGAAACAGGAGACAACGACCCGAGCAGCCAAATGACACACATGCACACACATGCACACATGCACACATACACAAAGACACGAACTCGTAGACCGTTATCACTTATGGGCTGTTGCTACACTTACTTAGTCAAACCACAGCGCACAGTGGAATGCAAATGAATTGAAGTTGCTTGAGAGACAGAGAGAGAGAGAAAGAGCTAGTGGGAGTGGGAATGATAATAATAATAATGAATGATGAACATGATAACAATCATATTAATGAAAATATTAAAAAAAATTTTAATAATAATATAATGATGATAATTATATTACCGATCATTACAGTGATAATGATAATGATAATGATAATGATAATGATAATGATAATGATAATGATAATGATAATGATAATGATAATGATAATGATAATGATAATGATAATGATAATGATAATGATAATGATAATGATAATGATAATGATAATGATAATGATAATGATAATGATAATGATAATGATAATGATAATGATAATGATAATGATAATGATAATGATAATGATAATGATAATGATAATGATAATGATAATGATAATGATAATGATAATGATAATGATAATGATAATGATAATGATAATGATAATGATAATGATAATGATAATGATAATGATAATGATAATGATAATGATAATGATAATGATAATGATAATGATAATGATAATGATAATGATAATGATAATGATAATGATAATGATAATGATAATGATAATGATAATGATAATGATAATGATAATGATAATGATAATGATAATGATAATGATAATGATAATGATAATGATAATGATAATGATAATGATAATGATAATGATAATGATAATGATAATGATAATGATAATGATAATGATAATGATAATGATAATGATAATGATAATGATAATGATAATGATAATGATAATGATAATGATAATGATAATGATAATGATAATGATAATGATAATGATAATGATAATGATAATGATAATGATAATGATAATGATAATGATAATGATAATGATAATGATAATGATAATGATAATGATAATGATAATGATAATGATAATGATAATGATAATGATAATGATAATGATAATGATAATGATAATGATAATGATAATGATAATGATAATGATAATGATATTATTAATGAAAATGTTAATTACTGCTGTTTGTAAGCAGTTTTTTAAGGTCAATAGAAAGTGACTTTTTAAAACATGAGGGATCATCCAAGTTCTCCATCAAAAACTAGACTGATGCGTATGAAAATCTTGATTTTTCCACCGACGCTCATCGTTTTTTGCTCCACTGTGCCATTTTCCTTTCTAGATTTCTATAGTTTTCTTCACTTGTTTTACTTTGGATTGTTTTTTGGTGAGAAAACGTTTTCCATTGGCGTGCTGCAGAGGAGGTAGGGTTGGGTTGGGTTGGTTTGGGTCTGTAGGACAACGACGACAGCATTGACAACTTTGTGCTCGGTTTTATTAGCAGCCGACTGCCTGAAAATTATGGCCTCTTTTGTGTATGTGTGTGTATGTGAGAGTGAGGGTTTGTTTTTGTGTTTGTGTGTGCATACTTGTACTAATGAGACAATTTTCACTAGTTTGGTGTGCGTGTGTTGACTTAAATTTGATCCCTAATGAACTGTCGCTCTGACTTGTTGCTCTGCGGCTGCCCACAGCGACAAAAAGCACTTCTCATGCCCAGCTATGAGCCCACGAGTCCACGAGTCTGCCATGGGTCTCTGGGCATACGAGTACTCAATTCTACTTCAGCTGTCACATTAGCTCGCCTTTATTGCCTCTGTGTGTGCGTGTGTGTGTGTGCATGCGGTTGCTGTAAGCGTTTCAATTAGTGTTTGGCAAACTACAAACGCCCCCAACCAACCAACAGTCACGCCCCTTGAAGGCAAGTACCATACTAAATAAGTGTCTGTTTGCCAGCCTGCCTCTATCCTGTCTATCCCGTCTGTCTGTCTGTCTATCGCCTATTCATATAAGGGACTGAATATTTAAGTGCGCAACTCTTTAACAATGAATATGAATATATATGAGCGTCAATCTGCTTCGCATAGCCCAACCTGCGTTTAATGCCCTAAATAAATATGAGTTAGTTATTTAAGTTGTGCCACCGCCCTTTTAGCGGGTGGCTGGCTCAGTGTTAAGTCTGCTCCAGGGACCAGCAGATTAGAACTTTGTGTATACATGACCAAATCATGCAGATGTCAGCGCTGCGCTCAGCTCCAAAAGTGGCCCAGACTACGCCTGTGTGTCTGTATTTTATTTCATTCATATAATGCAACTTTAAATTTAAGCAGGCAACCATAATACTCAGCACAAAGTGGATTAGGCTACTGTTATATAAAGTAAGGATCTTAAGCTGCCAAGTGTGGCATGAGAGGAAGTCTGGCACGCCTGCTTGCTAGGACTATGGCTTTGCTATTGTCTCTTAGCCAGAGCACTCGACTCACTTGGGCGATTACCGATTGGCAATCGTTAGTGTTGACCAAAATGAGATGCTTGCGCGTTAATCAGAAGTGCACAAGCCATTGGCTTTGCGATTACTCATGAGAGAGATAAAAACTTTGCCAGCTAATGGCCATAAAAGCCAGCGACGCGTCGCTCTGGGCCTGTATTGAATTTGCCTTCGTGCCACACACATTAAATGGCACTTTTAATAGGCTGCCAAATAACATGACGCAGCAGCAGCAGCTACGGAGGCAACAACGGCACATCCTGCATCTCAAGTGGTAAGATTCGATACACTCGAAAGAGATCCTAAGAGATCTTTGTTGTTTGCTTACAGTCTAAGAACTCGACTCCAATGCCTCCAAATACAACAATTTTTAACGACTTGCAGGAAATTGTGTTGAAATTTTGTTGAAATACGAGGTCAATACATGTAACGGGCTAATACTTGTGCATAGGTTAAGAAATCGTAAAGTGGAACAGGCACTAATATGCTCGCTTTAGCTACGCGGCGCGAGCATGCCAACGCAAGAAGCAACACTTTAATTTGGGCCAATTTTTATGCACCAATGCCAATGATAATGATGGGCATGACAATGGGGTGCTGATGATTATTTTTGATGAGTAATATAACGTAGCGTCAATGCCAATGGCCATGGCAATGGCAATGGCAATGGCAATGGCCATGGTAATGCTTCGCATTTCGCTTATCCTTATCGTGCCGGTGAGAGCCAAACAAAAATACAGAAAAAAGGAAACACACACAAAAAAAAAAAAAAAGAAGAACAGAAAGTGAAACATAAAACAATAGAAAACCAAATAAAAATTGTATAAATATTTTTATCACGTTATCGATTGCAATTACCGTTTGGCATATCAGTAAATAAATTAAAAGTAAAAGATGAGCAATGCATCATAAAAGCCAAATGCAAAGAACAAGCAAAATATTTTATATGCGAAGCGGCTATACCCTAACTAAAAACTTCATGAGTTAGTTTAAATGCCATGAAGCCGATCAGAGAATTGGCTTAGAAAATAAAAAAAAACGGAAGTAAATTCATTGCAGAAATTCTCAAATTAATGAGGTGACGAGCGACATGGAGGGCAGTGAATAGAATTGGGGTCGTTCGCGTTGCGATATAAACCAAAGCAATAACCGAGTAGCAATAAATCATCAAACACACACACAGCACACGGCACAGGTGGATTAGAGAGAGAAAAAAAGGTGAGCTAAACAGAAGTTGTGCACATTAATTGAATCGTTTGCAACTTGCAGCGAGCGCGAGGCTAAGACAAATTGTGAGCTCAAGGCGACTCGAAACGCTAACCCAATTTGAATGGCTTTATTATTTATAGCAAAAAATATTCATTGAATTAATTATGACAAGCGATGAGTTTATTTACGATCTATGTAGATTACAAATACATTATCGTTTTGGCCCGGGTGATTAGTTCGATTATGCGGTAGCCAGTGCTACACTATCTAACAGTTCCGGCATGCCAATACCACGATAACATAGCTATGCAAATAAGAAACTTCTGCCAGCACACACGCACACACGCACACACTGATTTTTAACCATATTTACGTACAGCTCTGTCTGGTTTCTACTCATGTCTTAATTACTTTGCTTCACTTTTCTACCAAACTTTCGGGCAACTGAACCGAAATGCAACTTTTGCAACTTGAAATTTTGTATAAGAATTAAGTTTTCTATGTTTTCTCTTTTGACATGTTCCACACATGCTGAATTAAACAATTAACAACTTTAATATATTATTTTTACAGCCCCTCATAAATTTCTAAATAGTTTTGTTGTCATATATTTTTTATTTTATAAACATAAGCATTCTTTTACTATTAAAAGTTTCGGACGCTGCGAAAACTTTTTAACTCCAATTCAACATATGCAAAATAGTTTTAATGCTTTTATATTTTTAATAGGTTTTGCATGCACAAACTCTAAATGCAATTAAGAGTTTTAAGCTTCACTCAAAAGTAATTATTTTTAATTTTTATTTTACCTGGACTTAGCACAGCTGCCTTTGGTTTCCAACTCAGTTTCGTAAACAGCTTAATCTATTTAGAGTTTTGGTTTTCGTCTAACTCCGATACACTTAAAAAAATAATTAAAAATGCACGCAATGATTTGGAAATTTGTACAAAAAAAAATAAACAAAATAATTTGGAAATAACACTCAAATACGATTTGAGTTAGGCTCCGATTGAAATTCAGTTTCTGGCTACGCTTGCTGTCGTTGCTGTTGCTGATGCTGTTGTTGCTGCTGTTGCTGTTGCTGCTGAGTCCGTTTCTTTGGCACTTGGCACTTGGAGCAGCAGCGCTTAACAACACACTGCTTCAGGTTCCCGGGAAAAACTAAACTGTTGTTACACTTGATGCATGCGTTCAAGCAGCGCCACGGCCACAGCCACAGCCACAGCCACAGTCAACGCCATTGCGATTGCCATACGACAGTCGAAAGTCGTCGCTCGGCAGGCACAGACGCTGCCCGAGCGCCAGCCGAAGGTGCGCACAGCGTATCAGGGGTTGAGGGCCGTACGGGGCGCATGGGACGTGAAGCTGTTTGGCACAAGCGCCACAAGTGCATGCCGTGCTCGTGTGCCAATGCCCGTCTGCTGCTCCGGCTGTCAGTTAGTCAGGCAGTCGGTCGGACGGCCAGCCCAAAAACCGAAATTCAAATGCCAGCTGCCTGCTGCCAGCTGTGGACCAGGCTGGGGAAATGCCATTTCGAAAGCTTGCTGAATAGCCTGAAAGTAGGCAAAGCTTTTTCTGCTGCAAAGCTCCCAACTGTGCGTGCGAATGCAACAGCTACTCCCATATAAACAAGCAGCGATAGCTCATGCATGTGTACAGCATTGAAAAACATGGCCATGCATTGTGAACAGTTTTGAATTATAGTTTTTTTCTCGATCTAATTAGGCTAAAATGATTATTCAAACTTGTCAATAGTCTCAGAGTTAGAGCCTTTTGGCTTGCAGGCAGTACATTTCATTCGTTAAGCTATGAATTGAAATGTTTTCCTTAAGATTCTGCTCAGGCAATGACTCATAAAACTTCTACGAATGCCAAGTATAGAGTAGAAAGTCGCTTTAATAGAAATTTATTTACTACGACTCACAAATCAAAGAGGAATCGAAGCAGTTATTGGCTAGTAAATGTTGTTCAGTTTCTATTGACATAGTTTTACAGTCAGACACAATCAAATTAGCATCTGGACAGCTGGAAGCTATCATAAGAAATCCAACCTCTGTTTTAACTTCTATATTTGATTCACAGTTTCATTGCATATTCAATTGCTTTGAAGTTATAGCTCAATAATCAAGAAGTTTATAGTTCTTTATCATATGATGTTCTGACATTCTGAAGCAAATGAAATTGATTTCGAGCTAGCTAGCTTACGTAAAAGCTGTTTAGAAAACCATGTTCAAAATGAATTTAACTGGTCGGTGATATGGGAAGCTGTCAATGGAGGTGTGCGTCGAGAGAGGAAGTGATTGGGGTTGTGATTGGGGTTGGGGTTCATGTGCTAGTTACTTGTTATGCGGCCATCATATTTAGTTTACAACTGCAGCGTCATAAATCTTTTTAATTAGCAGCTAAACAGGTCGTATACGCGATTAGGTTGCATAATGCATATTCTCTTACCACTTGGTCTGCGGCTAGGGCAGCTGCAGCTTGGTTTGAACATCTATGCTAGCACCTTGTGCTCTTGTCGCAGCCACTGCCGCCATTGCCATTGTTCACATCGCGAACCACGCTGACATAATGTGCTTATCGCAACGACATGGCTATAAAATTGGCATCCAAAGCGCATGCCAGGCATTTGCGGACTGCCACAATAATTAACACGCTTCGAGTATATTAAAAGGGCGACGGTAACAGCTGCGTTACCAACTGCATGGACCTATGTACATACACGCAAGTATGTGCTCATGCATTTATAAATACACAATTTGATGAGCACCTGCATGAGCCCATCGTGCGTTTGCGCAATATATTTCAAATGAACACGCATCATAGCTGTTGTTATTGGGATCCGCAATGGGACTGTTATTAATGTGATCAATACATTATTCTTAACACTAGCATTGTCAGATCAGCATTATGCAGTCGAGGCTACTCAATGCTGCCCATCTATGGATGTCTTGTCGGAATTCGTGTGCTTGGTAACTCAAGTTGACACACAGCCTTATTGATTGGCCTCACAATCCAGCTAGTCCATTGTGAACTAAAGTGTGCAGCGATCTTTCTGCAGGATAGTAAGCTAGATAAACACTATAGAGTTATATCTTCGGATATATGTATGCCTTGCAGCTGGGCCGGTAAAGCCCTGACAGGCCTCCAAGTCAACAGGCGACAGGCTCAGGTGAAGATAAGTTCTTAATATTTAAATGAATATTTTTATAAAGTATAATATTTATAATATTTTTATAAAGAATCTTTGAGTACATCGGAGTCAGGATAGTGGCAGCTCAGCTCTTTTTCATGCGCTCAATCCATGTTCAAGTTCTAGTCAATTCGTACTCCAGCTACAAAAGGCGATTACAATTTCTAGCCAACAATTCAGTTTGTGGCCAAAAAAAAAAGAAGGCAAACACCTATTCACAGTTTGCAGTGAAACAGTTTTTAGCAAATTGATAAATCTTTATTCGCCGGCGTTTTATGGAACTGAAGTGAATTCAAATATCGTTTTTTTTGCTATGCTTCATCAAAAGCATGCTGGGTAAATATGAATATAAGTTGATTGAAAGCTATTGGAAAAACTGTATTGCATAATTGCGATAGAGTGCATCAGTCTATTTGCAAATGGGGAGCTCAAATCGAAACGTTTATTTGTATTGATTTGAGCCAAATCAAATGGCATGTTGCGACAATAGGCAGCAGGGCCCTCGACAGGTGGCAGGCAGTTGCGAGACAAGGACAAATATTAAAATTGACTAAAGCCTCGATGAGGCGCATTAATTGCTGCTGGGCAGGTGGCAAATGCGAGTTGCAACCGACATGACGCGACGTCTGCAACTGGCGGCGGCGACACCACACAATCGTGCAACGGCACGCGCCGCTTGGCGGTGGAAATTGAGTAAATAGGTAAATAAAGTATCGATTTTAGGTCCGGACAGTTCGAGGCAACAATTGCTACAGCAATAATAACCACAACATCATCCACAACGACCTGAACATCAACATCAACATCACCAGCAGCAGCAGCCGCCGCCACAATAGCTGTGATTGAACCAGCGCTATACCCTAGCTAAGCTTTCAGAGTTCATGCAGTCTGCTTAGGTTGAGCAAGTATTTGATGTTTATGAGCGACATGATTGGCCAGGCTCAATTATGAATGATAACTGCAGAAAACAAGTGAAAGCAGGGTCATTTCATAGCTGACTTATAGCACGCATCACAGCTGCATCGCTGATACTCTCGGCGCTCAATTGAGTCCCCCTTTTGCAGGGTATCTGACGAACAAGGTCAAAAACTTTGCAGTCACATGCAACATGAAGACAAACCAAAAGCCACCAGTCAAACAAAATGTACAACAAGTTGCTACCAAAAGTGGCTCGCAACGAGGCGGTGCGAGGGGTGCGAGTGGTGCAGTCAGTGATGTACGTGTGAGAGGGCATGCGTATTGGTGTGTCACTAAAATTTCAATTAATACTCATGTATGTTCAATGTGCTGTGCATATAAAGGAGCAGACAACCAGCAGCATAAAGAGCAACAATAACACGAGCACCAGCACCAGCACCAGCAGCAACAGCAACAACAGCAACAATTGTGTCTGAACACTTTAAATTGTTGACATTTGACAACAATAAAGAATTTTGCTGTTGTTCACAGCCTATTGAGAGCTTTAAATCGAGATGAGCGCGTGAAAGGCGCAAATTAATTGACCATGAATGCCTGAATAAGTTACAGATTGATTAAATGATTGATTGGATGACTGACAGACTTTCTTAGCTTACTGAGTTAATCAGTGATTATCAAAAAGGCACTGACTGAATGACTGACTGAAAGCTTGACTGAATGACTGACTTAATGACTGACTGAGTGGCTGATTGACTGAATGAATGACTGATTGACTGAATGAGTGATTGAATGACTGACTGAATGAATGACTGAATGATTGACGGAATGACTGACTGCATGACTGACTGAATGATTGACTAAATGACCGACTGACTAAATTAATGTCTGAGAGACAGACTGATTCACTGCTTGTCAAAAAAATTGCTGATTGTATGATTGATTGTTTGACTGCCAAATTGACCAATTTTCGGCATAAGTGACTGATTGACTTATTGAATGATGGTGTGACTTACTGCCTGATTGATGGTATAGTTTATTAATTGATTGACAGATTGAGTGATTCTGACTGATTGCGCGAGTAACTGCCTGATTGACTGACATTCTCGTTGATTGACCAATCACTGGCATGGTGATTCAGACATGGTTGATTGATTGAGCCATTACTGATGGAATGATTGACTGACTGAAGGATTCCAGCATATAAATTAACTTCAGCGAATGGAATTACTGACTTGATTGATTGATTGAGTAACTCTGACCGGCTAACTGCTCGATTACTTAACTCTTTTTCTGGCCAACTGACCAATTGTAGACTGTGGATCGACTAATTATAAATAGAAAGAATTTTCGATTATGATACTCATTATATACTCAGCCGGTTATAATACTCAACCTAAAATTACTTGCTGTGTGTAAGCCACCTATTACTTTCTAAGAAGTATGAAATGTTCCTAAGGAACTAATGAAGATTAGCCCAAATGGCATTTCTCATCGTGTAATTCGACTTTTACAAGTTCATTAGGACCTAACTTTCTGAGAGAGATTGCTGTTTGCACAGGATTTTGGAAAAACTTCTGCCTCATGAGCTTTGCCATTGAATGTGACAGAATATTTCAGCTCATGAACATCTCTAATTTGGGATATAAAGCAAAAAAGGCAACGGCAGCTGCGGTTTAGATAAGAGCCAACTGGGCTCTTGCAGTGGCGGCCAGCAAATTGTGAAATACACGACGACAACATAATAAAAAAACCAAAAACAAAAACGAAACTAAAGAACAAATAAAAAAACAACAGAAAACAAAACAAAAAAAGGTCAAGCAAATGTTGTTAGCTGTTGTTGTTTAAGTTAATTTGAGCAACAATAAAATAAATTGCTCAACTCTGTTGCCAAAAATTTTGATTTGGGTTTCGCAAGCACCAAGCGTCAAATGAACGGCCGAAGGAGAGAGGCTAAGGAGGGAGAGCAGAGGCGATCAAAGGTCACGTTGCTTAAACGCTCAGTTCACAGGCGCAGC